CGCTAGGTGGCGAACGCTCAGTTGGAGTCGCATATAACCACGTAGCGTCACGTAGCAGCTTGCCACATGACCAAAATCACAATGTCGCGTATCTAGTCACGAGACTAAAATCGCAAACATTACGTTAGTATCCACGATAAATGTTCCTTTCAAAACCTGGTGACCCGTGAGTAGCGTGGGGAACCGATATAAACTAGACATGAATAGCCAAGTCAAGCTACACTGATAGCTAAGTCTAGTAAATGCATGGCACTACCAAAATTCTGCTGGGTCCAGTGATGCAAATCCTAGAAATTTGTCCCTAGATCTAGAGATTCTTACCCTTATTCCAGGATTTGGCGTCTTTTTTGTTGAATCTAGGGATTTTTGTAAGGTTCTGGAAATGTGACATTACGCGCCCTTAGTAAGACTTTTGGTCTTACTATGTGATCACGCTCTTATATCTAGAAAGGCTGTAAAAGTGCTAATGTAGGCTATTTTGTGTTTTTTTTTATTTAGGACAATCGTGTTGTTCTGATGGACCGTGTGAAGGGGATAGAAGTTTTGTAACGCGAGATTACTATAGTTTGAGTACTGGGGAAAATGAAACTCTGCACTGGTCAGAGTGAAGCATGCACATATCGTGAAATCCTTGAGTGATTGCTGAACTGTGAAACAAAAATTAATTTTGTCTTGTAATTCACATAAACTAATGTCAAAATTACGACCGCTGTGTGCCTGCACCGAGCTATTTCTGCGTGTGAAATAACCAGGAATATTATAAAAGAAATGAGAGAAAGTAGAAATAACATTTGTCAAGGGGAGGTGTGGGTTCAATATTGTGGAAGCGGTGTGATAAAAAGAGACAAGAAGACTCTTCGGGTGTTTCAGTCTTTCAGTCATGCCCTTTACATAAGAGCAAAAAAGTGACAAATGGGTAGCTGATCGAAAATGAAGAGGAAAGGCGTAGCTAGAGCGCCCACTTACATGTAATAAAAATATTGCAACAGTGACTGCAGATGTTTAAAATTGAGACTAGACCACGAGCTGTCAAGCTGCAAGTACAAGAAAGGCACTACAAACTTGCAGTTGACTCGAATGATCACATCTATGTCTTCAATGCATGTGCAAAGTGTATATGACATGCAAATCTGCCTCGGTAGCAGCAGGTGCCATTTACAAGCACTTTATATAACTCCACTGATCATGTCGGAAAAAGACCTTAAGAGATGGTTAACGGTGATTTTTACCTTTAAACAAATTCAGAAGAACTTTGTGACAGAGTGAATTATCCTAATACTTTTTAAGAGTCAATTAGCCTAAATAATCACGTTTAAAATGTATTCTAGGAATTCTTCTTGCAATTTGAGGATTTGGCGAGGGTAAATTTAGGGATAAAACGTTTCCTTGGCGTGGCACCACTAGCTGGGCCTAACACTAGCTGCACTGTTGGTTCCAGTGTATCTTGCGCCACTAACTCAAGCTCCGCATACTTTTATTGAAGTATGAGCGAAATCAATTTGTTTCCTGAACGCATCGCTGGTCAAAATTATACGTTGCATTTTATTCTGTCTTTAGGCACATAATCTATGCTTGGTCATGCACGTGACCTCACTGTTCGTTTCTCGGCGGCAACAGACATGGTATTGACAGAAGACCAGTCCCATAGATGCAACAGAGCTCATTCTCTGTGGCAATTTGCAACTTCTAATAGTTCTTACAAGTTCACATCTCTTATACCGATTCCAATAAACCGTATTTTATTGCGACTGCACGAACTTGGGCCTGCGTGGATCTGGTGACCAGCAAATGTGTATCCTAATATTTCTGTCTCTCTGATTACATCGCAGGGGCGTACTAACTCTTTCGCGAGGGGGGGGGGGGGGGCAAACCTAACGCACTCGTCAGCCAGAATATATATATATATATATATATATATATATATATATATATATATATATATATATATATATATATATATATATATATAATTTTCCTATACTGTAATATTTCCTCGTAGATCTCGTTCTAACGTCATCAGCAGATATGATATCCCAGGTTTTACATTCGCCCGGTCTGAGTGATCATGACGTATTGCATTTTACTTTTATCCTTCCAATTTTCTGGTCCCATAACAGTCTGAAAACCATTCTAGACCACAAAAAAACCAATTTTACTGCTATCAACCATGAACTTGGTGCCTTCCTAGATAATTTCTTTCCTAATGCCGATGAACGTTCATTGAATGCTAAGTGGAATATGTTTAAAGAAAAATTCATGATCTTGTCAAACGGTTCATTCCTACGAAGCGTGTTCTCTCGAATAACAATGCGTCATGGTATACTAAATCTTTAAAACGACTGTCTAACCGGCAAAAACGTCTCTTTCGCACAGCTAAGCGGGTACGAAGCGAGACTACATGGACGGCTTGCAAAAAAGCTGCCTCGACCTATACATTTGCTGTAAAGAATACCAAATTTTCATTTTTTGACACCACCCTTCCAACCATGCTTATCGAGAATCCGAAAACCTTTTGGAATGTAATAAAAGGTACCGAATCAAAAATCATACCACTAGGTTCATCTGCCGGTCATCCCATACCCCAGGACCACTGTGCTACTATTCTAAACAATGCGTTTGTAAAGGCTTTTTCACCTGCAAGACATGATGTACAACTACCATGGCTACCGCGCTGCAACTTTTTACCCATGGATCCGATAATTTTTCACTCCACAGGCATAGCAGAAATAATAGACAGCCTCAAGCTTACGTCTTCATGTGGAATTGATGAAATCACGACGAATTTTCTGAAAAATTCTAGAGAATACTCCTCAATTATTTTAGAGAGCATTTTTTTTTTCACAATCATACACGTCTTCATCTTTACCTTCCGACTGGAAAACAGTGAAAATCATTCCGATTCCGAAATCTCGTGATACTCATGACCAATCTAATTACAGGCCCATATCGTTAACTTCGATACCATGCAAAATAATGGAACACATAATATTATCTAACCTTGTTACGTTTCTGGAAGAAAAAAAACTTTTTCTCTAGGTGTCCACACGGCTTTCGCAAACTCCTTTCCTGTGAGACTCAGCTGGTAACTTTTACTAAAGACTTGCATGTGTATCTTGATAATGGCTTTTTTACAGACTATTTTTTGGACTTCTCAAAAGCATTTGACAGGGTTAAACATGTATTGCTTCTTCACAAACTACGTGCAGTAAACATTGACCCGGGAGTACTTGGATAATAGAAAGTTTTTTTTTCTTCCCGTTCTCAATTTGTGGTTGCGAATGACTTCACACCTGATTTGGCTCCTGTCGAATCAGGTGTTCCTCAAGGGTCCTTCCTCGGTCCTCTTTTATTTTTAATCTACATTAACGATATACCCGACAACATTTCCTCAAAAATTTGTTTATTCGAGGATGACTGCGTTGTATATCGCAAAATTACAGATGCCCCTGACGTAGCAACCTTTCAATCCGACTTGAATAACATATATAAGTGGTGCCTTACATGGTGCATGGAACTCAACATTAATAAATGTAAGTCGATGCGCATTTCTCGTTCTAACACGATCTTCCCTGCCAATGCACTAAATACCTGTCCCCTTCAATCTGTTAGCACCTACCGTTATCTTGGCATTCATATTACCAACGACCTCTCTTGGAAGCACCACATACAATACAAAACATCAAATGCTAACCACTCATTAGGATATTTGAAAAGAAACATTTCGTTTGAACCTGTACAATTAAAACGACTGCTATATATAGGCTACGTCCACCCCAAACTGGAATACGCCTCATTCATCTGAGATCCACATCGAATCAGAATAATTAACGAAATAGAATCGCTACAAAATCTGTTCGTTTCATCCTAAGTAATTATCATCGCTCTGTTAGTGTTTCAATAATGAAGAGTATACTCCATATTTCATTACTCTCTATTCGCAGAAAAAAAACTCGCGAATCTCATTATTTCATAAAATCTATCACCACAATCATTTCCTTCGCTCACTTTGCATTCACCCGGCATCGTACCAATCTGCTCGCCATGATCACGTGTACAAGGTCAGCGTACCTCATCACAAAACCTTAGCATGTTCATAATCATTCCTCCCTAAGATGTCAATAGACTGGAATAACCTACCTGCATTATTAGTAAGCATCACTGACCCCACTCTATTTAAGAATGCACTAAGAAACTCAGAATCGCGAACTGTACTATTTGGCGTAAGTGTTATTGACTGTTTAGTGTATTCTTTGTGGTTCTAGTTCAATTGTCTTTTAATAAAGTGTACTCCTTGCATGCAAAACTTCATCATTATATTTATCTTCATGTTAAATGTGTTTACATAATCCTGTAGTTATATTGTTGTTCATCTGTATTTCCGCCCCTCCCCTCTATAATGTACAAATCTACCCTGAGGGTTTTTACAAACAAAATAAAATAAATTAATAAAACAACATAATAAAGAGATTACTGTCGTGAAGGAAAACATCGCTTTAATTGTTGCTTTCCCCAGCGTGCAGCCAAGAAACACAAAGCCCCCCTTGCCCCCTCCCCTTTTCGGCTAGTACGCCTGTGCTACTTCAAGTTCATTTTTAACTCCACAGTCATTAAAAAAACTGCGTGGTCACACCTGCAACCTTTTATGCAATGATACTTAGAAAATGTCTCTGGTTTCGTTCCAGATGGGCAACGTACAACCTGAACTATGCGCACACACTATATTTTCCACTGAACACAGATTGTTGTTTGAAAGCATTACAAATAATATACTGACTTCGGTGGTTTCACTTCCCACATCCACGATATGTTTATGAGGGCTGGCGCAGTGCATGCAGCGCTCCTCGAGCTTTGACTATCCATGCGGTATTAATCCGTCACGTTGTCGGTGCACTGAACATTTCGTTTTGTCAGCAAATCAAAAAATGTTAAAAAAAGTACATTCAAATTGATAAGTTAACACCACTGCATGTTCGATGCTGTTATTTCGTGCGCATTCTCAGGAACGGACACCTGCCTTACGAAATTGCTTTGGAGTTTCTGGACTTGGTTCGTCCGGAAGATGACTACATGCCCTGGAAATCGGCTCTGGATGGCATTCATGACCTTGATTTCCTTATCAGGAAGACGAAATACTACAGGAAGTATCAGGTCTGTACTAATTAAGTCCTGGCTACGTATTGGAAAATGGGGGGAAATTTTGACAGTGCCGTCAATGCGGTATCCATCTTAGCAAAGATGTTCTGTTTTATGGCTTAAAAGAACAACACTAGCATTTGTCGTTAACGGCCGATGTGACGTGACACGTGCTAACACTAGCAATGAGTGCGTCGACGTCAAAAAAAAAAAGGGGGGGGGGGAGTTTTTACACAACAATTGAGCCAGTTTCGTCCTATAGTAGTGCCAAGCCGTCCGAAGTGCTCAGCCGGGCAGCCGTCTTTGTTTCTCTGTGGTTTTCTTTTTATTTTCTTCTTTGTTTCTTTTACTCTATTTCTGCTTTTTTTCTGGCATTTTCTTTCTTTCCTTCCCTGCCCCCTTTTTCTTTACAAACGTCCTATCTCGCCACTTCATAGAACACGAAGAGTGTCAGCACGAAGCGTTCAGGCCAGTCGAGATTTTGCGCTTGTCGACTACGTGACGCTATGAAAACGAACGGAAATCAGTTCATCGCGCACGACAGTCATGCAAGACAAAGGAGAACGGGCGGAACAGGGTAAAGGACAATTCACACCAGATATCTTTCGTATATCGACCAATGAAGTACTTACTTTATCATAACGTCACGTGAAGAAACTGCTGATGTCACAAATTTTTCTGCAAACCCTAGTAAAGAATTAGGCGCTTGTTTTCAGTATTTTTAAAGGCTGTTTAGGGACTCCTAATGCATCACCATAAACGTTTTCGCCGTCGAGCCGTCGTGGTGATAGTGTACGAGGCCCCTGTAGTTTGCTTTCATAATATGATTTTTTTTTTTCGCAGGTGTTTGTGCGGTTCATTCTCAACAAGAAGTTTGAAGCCTTTACACAAGAAAGGAGCAGCAACCTCTCTGCCACTGACGAGTGAGACATGCGTCTCGCGTTTATTTTTTTTTTTCACATTTTGGCGACTTATCAGGCACCTCCTTACGCGTGTCCGTAGAACACGCACATAACAATGTTTCTTTTTAACATGCTCAACGACTGCGTATGCTGCATATCTAAATTAGAACAAAATAGCAGTTGAACATTGCCAGTACCAATAGCTAACCAAGTACATTTAAGCTATGTGCAGTAGTATTTCGTCTCAAAAATTCCGCGTTTTACTATTGCGTACATTTCTTTTATTACATACTATGTTTTCCTTTTCACTTTATTTCACATTTCACGAATAAGTTCTGTAAACATTGCTTCAATTTGTTAAGCGTAGACCAGTCCATTTGTTAGCAATAAAAAAAATGTAATCGCAACACGCATCAACAAGGATACTCGGCAACAACTTCTGTTGACAGCACCATGGAAGCCACAAAACCGAAGCTTAAAAATTGCCTGCTAATAAATTTAACCTAACTTTACGGCTAATTTTTTGTCATTTACCTAGTCAAAATGATTGCTGCTTTATTTTACTATTTAGACTCAAATGACGGGATGTCGTAGGTGAGATACAGTTATTGATTTTTTTTTTTTCAGAAATGCCTTCATTTACGTTTTCTTTCTTAGACTGCACCAGCTTTTCAGCACGCCTGTTTTCCGAGCCAAACATTACGTCTACGACGTTGTAGATCAGTGTGCGACCGAAAACGAGTGGTTTAGTTCTCCAAAAGAAATGTACACATAATATTGCACTAAAATGTACACCAGTGTTTTTCCCATTCACATTTTCGTGCATACCAAACGCGCTGACGATGCGAGCACGCAGACCCGAAATGAGCCCTAACTTGCTTGCGTAGCAACACGGAAGCCCCGGCTTCGTAGCCTTCGCTTCGGTGTCAATATACGTTCTCGCCGAGTATAGTGCAACAGATGTTCAGGACTGCCTATCGGTAAAATTTTGGTTGCGATGTTCGACACCGGCTTGTTGCGTCGTTATCCTCTTTCTGTTGCAGCCTGCTTCGCAAGTCAATCATCATGAACTCGTGCTACTTCGAAAACGAAGCTTGTCTGGCATTCTCAACGAACAAGTTCAGAATCTTCCTGGATGAACCATCGAAAATACAAAAGTGAGCATCTATAACCTAACAATTCAGAGAAAGTTTTACAAAAAAAGGTTTATTCCTTGGTCATGCAGATTTTCTGTTTGTTTTTTACCATCAGATTGAGAACTGGTGAACTTCACATTTAAATACCTGGGAAGATACCTTGAAACAGCCGGTAGACTATGACATAACTATTGTGTTTTGGGTAGATATAGTTCAAATAAATGAAACAATAAGCTCTGTCCAGCCGGCACGGTAGAGGCAAATGGTCTGTGATTTATTTACCCAACAGTGTTGAAGAGCTCCTTTCTCAGCAATTCTGGTGTCGGTGTCATTAAATCGGAGGTAGAAAGAGGCGTTGTGCACGAGCGGCAATTCGTGATAGATGCAAATAAACAAATGATAATGTATCTTCCGTCCCAGTGAGACTCGAACCGAGACCATCTGCGTGGAAAGTAAGTGTTCTACCATGGGGCCCCAGCAGTGCTTCAAACTGCTTGGTATAATGGGGAAATCGCTATCAATTTAACTCTTGAAAGCTAACTTTAGGGTCTCTCCAATCTTTGCTCTCTCTCAATTATTTTTCTCTGCCTCACTTGTATCTATTTTTGTATGTTTTTATTTCTTTCATTCTGTCTATTTATCTCTCTCTCCCTTTTTCTTCTTTTTTTTCTTTCTATCACTCCCTTTTTTATATCTTTAACTCTCTGTCCATGTATTTGTTTATCTTTTTGTGTTTTTTGTCTTGATTTCATTCTACTTTTTTCTTTCTATCGTCTTCTTTCACGCTCTCTATTTTCCTTCATTTCCTTGCCTCCATTTCACGTGTTAATTTGCGTTAAACACTCGCATTTATAGTATACTCGCCAGTACATTTTTGCCCTCGGTAAGAGGCCACAACTCCCACCTGTAGGCTGATGTGACTTTTTTGACCTCAAATATCGCCAGGCGGGAAGGAGGAAAGATCACATCCAGTTGACCTTGTGCCCCCACTTGGCCAGATCATTTCACTTCCTTCGAACAAGTAAAACAATTGGGAAAGAAAGACTCTTTGTGAAAATACTGGGTCTGTGAAGGACCTTTATCAAATAATCTTCGAGTGTCTGTCAGGTTTGCACGCAGTTGTCAATTCACCATTTTTTTTTTCACTTTATCTGCACCCCCCCCCCCTGTGGTTTGCTTTTGGCATGCGGCCCCCACTGGGCTGGCTTGATGCTACTTTTGGTCTTCCACCCCAAAAGGTGGCCGACCCCTGCTTTAGAGCATAATCGGACGATGTATTTTGATCACGTTTGACAGATTACGACTGACTTAAATATCTGTGCTGTTCAGAATCGCGGGGTATTTTAAGTATGTGAAAGCGAAAATCCCAGCTATGTCAAATGCGGCTCTGATCCCACGCGGACTTATAGCCACCGTGCAGTGGTTTTCAAAATGCGACAGCAGCAAAGGAATCGACAGCATTATTGACAGCAATTAGGCTAGCCTAATGCGCTGAGAATCAACGTAAAAACTACCTAGCACGACCTAGCTAACGCCTAGCAACGACATAGAAACATCACCTAACTAGGGCTTGTAGAAACAACCTATATAGCTGCAAGCACGTTAGTCTTCAGTCTCTCCAGTTTCACTGTTTCAAGCCTTATGCGGCTTGATGAAAATTTTCCTTTTGTGCAGAGCTCTGCGCAAGAATCCATGGCGCACCATGGTGGTGCTGTGCCAAGGCGTGCGTCTAGACAATGGCAGCCACTGGCAGTTCGTGCTGGACCACCTGGACGAGGCAGCCACGGACGAGAGCAAACGCGCCGCCGTCAGGGCACTCGGATGCGCCGAGAATCGATCCCGGCTTAAAGAGTACGCCAGCACTTGCTATTATAACCTCCGCAAGCGTCGATTGACGTGTCGTGTTTCGGGTCGGTATAACGTAAAAGTGTTAAGCATGTTGTACGAAACTTAAAATAGGATAGGAGGCACACTCAAGCATCACACCGAGTCCCGGGAGATTATTTTCACTTCCTAGTCGTATTTGCGCTCCTTTTATGCAATATGTATCAAATTCAACTCGCCCACCACCTTTCTGAAATGTTCAGCAGAGTTTCTGTTTTCCATCCACCATTAGCGCTGCATGGCTGATTGAAATATTCCAAATTCATCTCGCTTCTTTGTCACATGATGCAAGGAAAAACAATAGGATGCCGCATCACATAACGACGCGTAAACAGAGTCCTTCCATACATTTACTGGTCATGAAAGTTCGGCGAAAGTTTGATATATATACAGGAGCAACCTCTGCCCTCGCCCACGGCGGGGCATCGGAGCGGCCGCGGCTCTGCCATTGTACGGCACGCGCCGGAGCTGTGAAACGTTATCAAATGTAGCCGTGAAGGCTGAATACGTCTTCAGAGTGATGCTAGCTTCAAGGAAATTCGAGAAAGCTCTGATACAGTGAAATTTAGCATCGAATGAGGCCCTGAAGCTGAAAACTAGACGGCATGATGATTCCTCTTTGATATATTCTACCGCTATAAAAGCATGCTTATTTTTTCTCTTAGGATTTTAGTGAACATTTGTGTACAATCCAGAGTTCTTCAATGATTGGTGGTTCTTAAGGCGTCGCGGAAGTGCAGTGGTTGCCACTTTTGACTGAGCATATCCAACCTTCAATGCTATATATACATTCGATGTTTCATCTACGAAGATATATATATATATTGAAATTGCCTCGCACTTATCGAACCAACGGCTGCTTTGGATGATTCAGTTTATTTAATTTAGCAAGGGATGAGCATCAAGCAGTACTTCATTTGACGTTCACTTCGTTTTCGTGTTTTGTTTTGCGTTAATTTTTCACTACGGTGCCGTAGCGCGTTCTAAGTTCGGTTGGCCATTCAATGTAGTTTCTCCGTTCCTTACTCATGCTGTGTTTTCCCTTTCCTTCTTTATTGTTTTTACTGTACAAGCGAAAGCCTTACATACCTCCTCAAACGTGAAAATTGACCGACTGCGTCCCGCGCCGGTGGCGTCAACATGTGACGCAAAAAGCTATCTTCTCGTGCTCATAACGCATTCATATCAAAAATTGACTTTTTCCGCTTTTACAGCTTGCACACGTTTTGTACAGCCTTGTGGTGCAACCTCTCTTACACCATCACCCTAGCAAACTGCTAATGGTAGCGCTGAAGTTTCCGTTCCATGCAGCGGGTGTGTGCTTTGAGTATTTCAAGCTGCAAGAAGCTGCATGTAGCTCCGCGTGTTTGGCATATCACCTCTAGACTTTGATAATCTCAGTGCCTGTATAAAAGAAAACGGCGAGCGTTTTATTCATCGGGCTTCCGTATTACCTACTGGCATGGAATGAGGAAGAGGCAGTCGGTACGCTCCCCTTAATGAAACGTGTCATTACCCATTGCAGCTATGTCAAGAGGGCTCATGCACAGTCCAATGCAGCAACAACAGTATGCAGCTCGCTGACGGTTCAAATCGACACACGTAGGCGGGCACTCTCTGCTTCTTTTGGCACTATACAAATACGTCGTGAGGCCGTAGAAAATCTTCGGCACAGCGTCAGCAAAAGTTTCGGAACGTCACGCGGTCACAAGAACACCTCCGACTAGCCACTGGCGAACGCGAACGATGTCACTCTCATCGAAGTGCTTTCCGCGCACATGCACATTCGACGAAACAAATGGCAGGTGGCGGGATCGAATCCCGGCTGCAGCGGCTGCATTTCCGATGGAGGAGGAAATGCTGTAAGCCCGTGTGCTCAGATTTGGGCGCACGTTAAAGAACCCCAGGTGGTCAACATTTCCGGAGCCCCCCACTACGGCGTCTCTCATAATTATATGGTGGTTTTGGGACGTTAAACCCCACATATCAGTCATCATCAGACGAAACAAACGGGAAACTATTAGTTTCTTGTGACGGCATTGCGCGCTTTCACTTGTCCCGCCGATCACGCTTTGTAGGCAGCGAGAACTCGGAGGCTTTTTCGTCATTTCTTTTGTAACCGCATCGACCACCAGGCACCCAGCAGGTATACGGTATCCTTCCCGATCTTCAGGCACAGTACACTAGTCACAATAGTAATTATATGGTCAAAAACTACACGATGGCATGCCACGATACTATGCATTGACCCTATAGCGGCACCAGCAGTCAGATTCCCTCCGGTCTACGGATGCCCCGCTTGGTGAGGCAGCGCCGCCCCGCGGATTCCGCTCGCAGCGCACAAAGCTCTCCCGTAGAGTTATGGCGAAGCTTCACGACCAGTAAATGTAGTGAAGGACTCTGGCGTAACTACTGTTCGATTATGTATAAAAATAGAATAATACATTTTCGATACGGTGCTGTTATGGGTAGGGCTTTGATATTAGTCGGAACATTTTTGTTTTGATACTCGCGTTGTCCAAGCTTTGTTCAACTTATCTTGGAGCTTCCATATTCAACTAATTCAATGTATATTATACGCAAAGCTTTCAATAGTAACGGACAAATCAAAATTTTATGTATGCACGCCTTGTCTTCCAGTTCCTCTTCCAGAGGTGGTGTGTGTTTGAATGTGCCTTCCTCATTCGACCTTGTTTTAATTTTCACTGGTATTTCTTGCGTCGGAACAAAAAAAACGACGGGCGAAGTACGCACAGTAGCACACTAACGACACCGCATTTATTTGCACCTTTTGCACAGTAAGCCCACTCACTGATTTATATAATCAATGGTAACTGATCAATGAAATGAGGAGTTTCCTTAAGAATGACAATACGTGCTTTAAGGGCTCGTCTTATGTACGAAGCTCATGGGCGTGCTCACGCTCACCGCCAAATGCTCAATACGGGGCCGTAAGAGGGCTAGTAGTGGCAAAACCAGGTTAACGTGAACAAACAAGGTCGAAAATAATATAACTAACAGAAATGATCAAGAAGTAATTGTAATAATTTACTTAAATCAGTAAAAACGTTTCAAAAACACACGGCCAAATCCATGATAGAGAGGGCGCCACCGCATCGCCACGCCCTGTTTTTGTTCACTGGCACTGCGTCACTAGATATACATCTGATAGAACTCGCTGCTGGCGACACGTATCTCAACAGCCGTTCTGAGATAATTGAAAAGCTATGCCGACGATGACGAGAAAACCAAAACGCTTCAAATACTTAAAAATCAATTACTACCAATTAGTTCTATTGCCGTGTCACTTCAACTGTCTTAAAGGGCCCTATATTTGTTATAGGGCCTAGTGCCTATGCCAAACGTTACTTAGACCATGGTAGTTGTTCTGTGTTTTGTGGAGAGCATTATGCCACAAAAAATTCTATCGGGTAATTACAGGCTGAGAAAACTGGTATTTTGAAGTGGCGTGAAAGGATGATGCGAAGAGGCGAGCTCGAAACCCTTGCCACTCTCCCCGAGTAGCCTTCGCAAGCCGAATCTCTTCCCTATCGGCTCCGGCATCCGAGCAAACAGCCTCCTGCACATGACGTCTCAGAGGAAGCTTAACCACTGAGGACGCGAGCGGCGTTGTTTTGTTCACAAGCGTTTTAGATGCAAAGCAGCTCTTTGACTAGCATGTCTAACGCTGTCTCGTATGTCCGCACAAACCCCTCTGGCCACAGGTGTTGGGGCGGTACTAAGTAGGTCAAGTTGAGGCTGCACATTGACGTCACTATCTCCCTCACCCACAGCACCTGCCGGCCACTCTGCGGCTCTCAACACACTTCTCTCTCGCTTAACCCTAGCGTACACCCGCAACGCTTCCTACTTCCGACGCTTCGTGAAAAATTTTGCGCACATAGCGAGGCCGTTTACGCAGCTCCTCAAGAAAGACGTCCCGTTTTCATGGGGCTCCGAAGAGGCTTCTGCGTTCTCGACCCTCATATCACTCTTCTCATTACTCTTTCGATCATGGCACACTTTAACCTTGCTGCCCCTACGGAAATCCATACAGCTGCAAGTGGACATGCCATTGGTGCAGTGCTGGCTAGAAACAAAAGAGCCATGATTGCGTTAATGCATGTGCCAGCCACCTCCTATCCGCCCCTGGAACGTAACTATTCGATCACAGAGCGTGAGTACTTGGCTCTTGTATGGAAGGTGGCGAAATTCCGACCTTATCTATACGGACGCCCATTTTCGGTACTGGCTGGCTCAACTCTCTGAAATATCCACCAGGCCGCCTTGGTAGCTGGGCTTTGCGCCTGCAAAAGTTTTCCTATTCGGTGGTCTACAAATTTGGACGCCTACATCATGATGCCGATTGCCTCTCCCGGTACCCTGTCGACGATCCTGAGGAACTGACGAGCCCACAGAGAACTCTATCTTCTCAGTGTCCGACTTCCTTAACATTGGGGAAGAGCAGAAGCGTGATGCAGTGCTGCTTGACATCATCAGCCGTACGGAATCCTCCCCAAATGGTGCTTTCGTCCACTGCTTTGTAATCAAAAGGGTGTGCTATATTGCCGCAATTTCCGATCAGACGGGCCTGACCTTCTCATTGTTGTGTTTTCAAAAATTTTCGAAGATATAATTTACGTCCGATTAGTTACATTTTTTAACGCACGCAAGGTAATTACAAAGAGTCAGTATGGCTTTCAAAAGAATAAATCCGCTGAACAAGCACTCTTGTACATCAAAGATAAAATAATAATTAATATTGAAGACAAAAACTATACGCTTGGTCTATTTTTAGATCTAAAGAAGGCATTTGATTCTATAGATCACAAAATTTTGTTACAGAAGTTAGAGAAGTACCGAATTAGGGGTGTTGCAAGTCGGTTGCTGGTAAGCTATTTAAATAATCGTCAACAGTTCGTACGTATGCAGGATGTTTCGTCTAGTTACCTAACGCTTGAACGAGGCGTCCCTCAGGGCTCTAAGCTACGTCCATTATTATTCATAATTTTTGTAAACGATATAGTAATATACCTGTTTCCCCAGAATTAATAATGTACGCCGACGACACCAATCTATTTTTTAAATCACGGGACCTGAATGAATTAGAGTACAGTGTGAATCACTACCTTGTATCGCTAGCTTGCTGGATGAATAAAAAAATGACAAATAAACGCTGAAAAAACAAAATACATAATATTCAGGTCGCGCAATACGCCCATCGATAAGGAAATAACCATTACTTATGCAGGAATAAAACTGCAGCAATTGACAAACCAGAAGTTTCTTGGAGTGGTGTTTAATGAAGAGTTAAGCTGGAACGCGCATATTAGCCAACAATGTGTAGACTTATCAAAAAGCATTGGTATTACGTACAGAATTTCTAAACTGATTTCCCTATGGGTGAAACAACAGTTATACAATTGCCTTTTTTATTCTAAGCTGTGCTATGGAGCTCTGGTGTGGGAAACAACCACCAAAACTAACTACAAGAAACTTGTACTTCTACAAAAAAGGGTTCTCCACATATACTGCAAACACCAAGGAAATTACGCAAACTTGAGGACGGCACCTTTATTTCAACGATATCATATGCTTCGGGCTGATCAAGTCTATTACATGAAAATATTGCAAATCATATACAGCAAAAATTTCCCAAAGAAGGAGCTAGACAACACACTTATCCTATCCGCCAAATCTTACGCCGTCCACAACGAACACGAACAAATTATGGGAAACAAACTTTTACCCATCAAACAACTTGCATATTCAACAAATTAGAACATAAGCTTAATTTTGATTGTACAGAAAAAGCATTTAAGGTACAAGTTAAAGAAGTGCTAATGCAGGAAAACATACTTTTTGATGGATCCTAAAAATACTCATGTTAGCAATGGTAGTAGTCGGGCGATGGAAATCTTGTACTGCATGTATTTTATTAACTATAAAATAGAATGGTATGTATCACATGTCTCTAATGTCCTAGTCTGATTCTTTCCTGAGTGATTGTTATTTAAGTGTTTTATGTAGTAAGTATGTTACAAGATTTGTACAGTCGGTCAGATTCAATGTAACCTGATATGTTTTGGCAGCTATCTTTTATATGTTGCTTCTTTGTTCATGAAGGACTGATGCCGCGAAAACTGTTTTTTTATTTTTTAGTTTGATGTACGAACTGTGTACAAGGGTGTTGGGTCCTCTGTCAGGCTATATGCCTTTAGCCCCAACATCCTTTTGTTTCTTGTGTCTTGTACAAGAAAACAATAAAACGATTTTTGACATTGAAAATTGAATTGAATTGAATTGTGCCTAAGGATTTGCGCCGTTGTGTTCTCGCCAAACTTGACGCCGCTCCCACGGCTGGACACCTTGGCGTATCCCGCACGTACGAGCGCGTCCGGCGCCGTTTCTTCTGGCCAGGCCTTGCTCGCTCGGTACGCCCATACGTCGCCATGTGTGACCTATGCCAACGCCGTAAAACACCGTCGCTGCTACCCGCTGGCCATCTTCAACCAATCGACATACCCGCAGAATCATTTTACCGTATTGGGTTAGACCTGCTTGGTCCTTTTCCCACATCAACATTGGGAAACAAATGGATAGCCGTGATTACAGACTACGCTACAATCTACGCTATTTCGCGAGCTCTACATAGCTGTGCAACCGACTTCACTGACTTCTTGTTACGGGACGTTATATTGATTCGCGGTGCTCCGAGACAACTCCTCACAGACCGTGGCCGTACATTTCTATCCCTAGTCATCGCCGACAATCTGCGTTCTTGTTCCACGCAACACACACAACCGCTTACCACCCTCAAACAAACGGCCTCACGGAACGATTTAACAGCACTCTTGCAAATATGCTCGCTATGTACGTGTCGCCCGACCACCGAGACTGGGACCTTGCCTTACGCAACTTTCGCGTATAATTCATCCCGTCACGACACAGTGGGCTTTTCGTCGTTTTACTTATTGTATGGAAGAGAGCTGACTTTACCACTGGACACAGTCATCTCAGTTCACACCAAGTCCACCAGCGAGTATGCCCCCGATGTGATTGCGAGAGCCGATCATGCCCGTCAGCTTACTCGCGCTCAGCTAATGATGTCGCAAACCAACCAATGCCGGCGGTACAATGCGAAACATAGAGATGTACATTTCGCCCCCGGTACCCTCATTTTACTCTGGTCGCCTCATTGGCAGCTGGACCTATCAGAAAAACTTTTGCTTCATTACACGGGACGCCACCGTATATTGCGTCAAGTAACACCGGTCTCCTACGAGATCAGCCCCATCTATTCATCATCATCTGTTGTGCGGTGCAGTGATCTTGTACACGTCTCGCGGATCAAGCCCCACAATAATGCGTCAGATAACGACATTTAAAGCACCGGGACGGTGCCTCCGCCGCCGGGGTCATGCTACGTGCCAGTGCATGGAGATGAAGAAGACAAATCCGATATACTGGCACGAGCTAATATCTGTGGCCAGCGCTACTCGCTTAACCGGCTGAAAATAGATCTGTAACTACCTCTCCGAGTCGGTCTCCTTCTTGTAACAATATATCATGTCTCAAATACAAATACATCAGCATGTCGCCTACATCTTTATCACTCAAATAAATTGGATATCGCCCTGTGCAATACGTGTGTGTTGGTTTTGTATACGCTTCGCTTCGCCGTACGCAATCAAGGGTAGACGTTAAGATAAATACGGTCAACTTTTTTGCCAATAAACTGTTTGTTGTTTGTACGTGCTGCGTATATCTGTGTTCTTTCTAGCGTACTTGTCTTCAGTACGCATCACTTCCCATCAAGGTGAATCACCAACAAGCCCAAGTTGAAACCCTCCAACTCGACCGTGAGCCGGGTTTGACGAATGGAGCTGCGTTCGGGTGAACGAGTCCGCGGGATAAGCTCCTAAGAGAGCTCCGTTCCTCATGGTTCCACGTACCCTCGCCTCTAGGTGGCGCCACCGCAGGTACATGGAGCCATCTTTCACACGTTTGTGACCATGCTGATTTCTACATGACAGGCATTCGTTGTGAAGCCCGCCTATAGGAACCTCGGGCTCCATGCGGGGAAAATAACACGTCAGGGTATGTGAGCAGCCCTACACTGCACAGCACCTGACTTCTCGAAGGAAACTAGATATTGACATGGCGTGGCGTGTTTTCTCCATCCCGTCCCTGGTTCTTCCCTTCCGCCGCAATGTAGTAGGCATGAACAATAGCGAAATATCGACGGAGTACTGTGAGCTACAAAATATTATATTCTTCTTTACAGACTCCTGAATCACGCCTTCGACAAGCCCGAGTTTCCAGGGAAGATGCAGTACATATTCGAGAGCCTTATGGAGACGCCGATGGGCGAGGAGCTCGCCTCAGACTTTCTCTTGAAGAACCTCAAGAAGCTCATTCGCAAGTGAGACCTATGCACTTCACGCACCTATCTGGCAGCCGAATCCAATTGTATGGTAACCTAAAAGTAACTTCATGAAAGTCTCTTGAATGCGCATGCCTGTGCCTCTTCTCTCCGTAACCCTTGGTGTTACGTGTCCTCAAATTTCAGGAGCGAAGCTCCTTAGGCCGTGGGTTTTTCTCCGCTGTAGTCGTAGTAGTATAGTAGTTTGTAGCCACCTTTAGCTTGACTTCCTCAATATATGCCGTTGTGTGTATATGTCCTTGGGAATAGTATAACTAGATGGCACTAGTGATTTTCACAGCATATTCATGGATTAAGTGATGATCAGTGGAGTGAAGCGACCATCCGTCCGTCCATGTGTCCATCCATCTAATCGTCCGTGCGTGCGTCCGTTCGCCCGTCTGTTCATTCGTCCATGCTTCCAACCATCCGTCCGTCTATGCTTCCGTGCGTTAGTCCTTCCGTGCCTCTGTTCGTCCGGACCCACTGACGGATCAAAACACGGATGGACGGACGCTTCGCCCCACACATCGTCATTCAATCCGTGGATGTGCTGTGATTTTTTTTTTCATCTAATACCGGCGCACACACGGTGTGCATAAAAAGTGCTGACTGGCCACATTGTTTCTATCCAGGTACGGAACGGGACCTTCTATGAAGCATGCTATACGGGCTGTCGTCACCGGAGTCCGCAGTGTGGATCGGTTTAATAAGGTACATGAACACCATGTAATGGTTGCCGTCGATAAAACACAACCGCTAGTCGGGAAAACTGGCTTCATTGAAAGGACACGATAGCTGGGTGAATTCCTAGCGCATATAATAAAGTTGTTCTCACTCACTCACTCCTAGCGCATAAAACTCGCCGCCAACTAATTATTATTATTATTATTATTATTATTATTATTATTATTATTATTATTATTATTATTATTATTATTATTATTATTATTATTATTATTATTATTATTATTATTATTATTATTATTATTATTATTATTATTATTACAAAACTACAGGTTAACTACGGGGATAGATGAGAGCCAGAACCATTATTGGGTAGCCACCAGCATATCGCACACTTCACTCATTGAGTTCAGTTCAAACGAGATAGCCATATATTTGCTTATTTAAACACTCCCATCTGCAAATCGGTTATTGTAGTTTCGTTCACATGAGCCAACCGCCTTTAATTATCGCATCTGCTCTACAGATCAAGCACTTCCACGAAGATCTCTCTCGGCGTCGCCGGTTTCCTCGAAGAGTGGACCTGGCGTTTGTCGGCGCGTTGACCGAGGCCGAGCGTGCGCTGCTCTGGACGCGGAATCACGGCCGCCAGGTCGAGGAGTGGCTTGACAAGAAAATGTCCAAGTATCCATTTCTCTACGAGGATGTCGTCAGAGCCATGTACTAGCCATCATGTGTGTGTGCAGGAAATAAATATCTTGCTCCAAACCAAAGTGGTGCCTGCGTGCACTTCGGCAGAATTTTAACAATAGGTGTTCATGCATGACGAACCACACAAGAATGGCGTGGCGCAGTGAAGAAGGAAGACGACGAAGTGTTTAAAAAAAAAAAGCTTTGAAGACGCCTGAATTTTGCCGTCAGTGTGGAAGTCACGAAGGAGGAGGAAGTAGTGCAGACCATCATAGTGAAATCGGGCCTTATTAGCACAGTCTTCTCAAACGCTTTGCTGCTGCATGCACACAGGGTCACAAGGAAAGGACCGTCTGTGCACATAACATTGGCTGTTTTAAATTATCCTAAAATGCCCAGTGCAAGTATAGATGCGTAGTGCCCCCTGTGGCATCATTGTGTTTTTTTTTTTTTTTTTGCAGCTTGACGAAGTACCCGCAACGTGTGAGAACTCGCTCGCGAAGCTGCACACTTTGTCGATGTCATTCCTTATCACCCCCCCGCCTTCCTGGTGCGCACGTCAATGTTTTAAACCAACCACTCGTTACGTAATGCACATGCTCTGACGCCTAGGGCAATTTTTTGCTCCTGCCATGCAATATTGCATGAGTACGCATGTACTATATGTAATAACGCAAATTGACTTTCACTTAGAGGAGACAAACTGTTCAGTCGAATGAGAAAGTTGCACCCCATCATGTGTATAGCATGTTGCCGCTTTCAGAAAATTCTTAGCCAGTCACGAAATCTTGCCAATTTCACCGGCGAAACCAAAACTCGCAAAAGCACAACTGACGTTATTTTCCAATATGCCCCTAACCATCAATCAACTTCACGTGGTGATTGTGCGAGTTTTGTTTGCGATTAGAGCATGGCCGGTGCACGTACATTAACAAATGCACAAGCAGTATTACCACCACAGTCGCTGTCATGAATGGTACCGTCATGTTGGTCGCCTCCTATTTGCGCTCATCGGAGCTCCAGTTTCTGTTTCGCCGGTGAATTTTCTTGAATTTCAGTGCTGTGAAATAATTACCAGAGGCCAATTTTTCACAATGTCGAAGCAGCAATGGCCTCCTCGCAAGAAGCACAGCAACTCCACCGTTTGCCCCGACTGCCTATCTCCGCTAATAAAAGGCTAACTTATTTTACTTACTTATGCAGCCTTAGTTACTGTGTGTGGATTGGAACCACTGTGAGCACACATAAACAGTGTTTGTGCTAATACAGGGGCTTTTGTGCTAGTAAAAACAAAATACGACCCTGCCCTCCTCTTCAATGTTACTTCAAGCAACCCCCCCCCCCCCCCCCCCCCTCCTCGTTGAGTGGCTGAGTTCACCTTGGCGAGACCATGTCACTTATTAAACGATCACGAAGTATTTGAACCACACTGGCGAACAGGTATTGTCCTTATTTTTTTTTATATTCCGTACATCCCACTTATAAGGTTCAGATACATTCGTCTACTGCAAGCGTTGGTGTTTAGCCGAGTGGGTAAAGCGTTTCCTTGCAAAGCCTGAGATGCTTGGTTCAAAATCCAATTTCGCCAGGAATGTTTGTACTTTTTATTTAACCGCGATTTGTCTCGCGTGACAGAGACGGACAAAGTTTTTAAGCTAATTCCGCGTTGAAATGCTTACGCACTTTAAAATAAAGATTTTGCCTCATAGTGCTCGATTCTGTTTATATATAGTATAGAAATCACCTCAGTGGTGTGGTTGCTTGTGCTATAAATAGCACAACCACGCAGCAAAACGACAAATATTACATGAATGTGTTCAGCGTAACCAATATGCGTACCAAGTATTGCGAGATGTATAGTCCAGCTAGCAAAAAAAAAAAAGAAAATGTCACAGATTTGCCGCAAAGGCAAAGCAAGAAACGCGATAGCAACGATTCGAGAAGACACGTCCAGAGTGAGGAACAGAACGAAACATGCCCCGCGTTTCTGTCGCACAAATTACGCACGAAACGTACCCACAGGAACGGAAGCACGCGAATAAGCATCTCATTTGTTAATTCGATGAGTCCGAAAAGCGCGCACTTTTCGCAAACGGAGATTGCAACGATAGCAGTCACATTTGTGCACCCGGTAACTACAGCAGAATCGTTCCACGTAAAGCCCGAGGCCAGCCAGGGCGTATGATCCTCCCCTCCTCGCCACCGCGAGATAAGGGCACGCGAGAAAGCGTCGCTCCCCTTCTCTAAGCCGGGCAAAGTAGGCGTAAGAGATTAGAGCGGGCGCCGCTGCGCTATGTGGCGACGTGCGCTCATTGCGCCATCTTTCTGGTAATGCCGAAAACAGCAGCGATAAGTGGTAGATATAAATAGCTTGCCGTTTTAACTTTCCAGAACGTGTTCTGTGGTGGCTCAGTGGTTAACGCCGCGCTTTTACGACTCAGAGGTCCCACGTTCGATTCCACGCATCGTAGGTCTTTTTTTTCTCGATTCTTTAATTCTTTCCTGCAATTATATATATATATATATATATATATATATATATATATATATATATATATATATATGTTTATATATATATACGGTGCGTGACATCCACGCCAGCGGCAAAATCCAGCCGGGAGTCTCCGTATAATTGTTATCGCAATGAAAACAATGTGCGACAGTAATTATATCATAATCTCTGAACTTCTTCACTATATTAACGTATGCGGTAATGTACCCACTACATTTTTTCTAGAAAGCTATTAAATGCCTCACTTTCAAGTTTTTGCAGTATTAGTACACCTCGATTGGACAGTTATCCGTGTCAATGGGAGCCTACCGAGAGGCTCCACAGAGTCTGATAGGTTTGCTTCACCGAAACACGTGTAAAGCAGTTGAAAAGTTGAGGCCCTTATCATCTATGATAACGCTAAACTTTTGGCTGACGTTACAGAAAGAAGGATGTTCTGCTTCAGCAGCCGCAATGCGCAGCGACAACGGCGCTCTCGCTGCGGTGTTCACCCTTTCCACCAGTCACCGCAGTAAGTTGGCTTACCCGCAGCGCACAACATGTGACGTCAGGCAAAAGTTTAACCTTATCGTGGGTGATAAGGGCCCCAACTTTTTCGGCTGGTTTCGATGCCTGTTGTGGTGAAGCAAACTATCAGGGAAATTTTTAGTTCGGAAGACTGCACATTTGGTCCGCCACTACTTGGTGTGACGTCAGAAAAAAGTTGAACCTTATCGTGGGTGATAAGGGCCCCAACTTTTTCGGCTGCTTTCGATTCCTCTTGTGGTGAAGCAAACTATCAGGGAAATCTTTAGTTCGGAAGACTGCACAGTTGGTCCGCCACTACTTGGTGTGACGTCAGAAAAAAGTTGAACCTTATCGTGGGTGATAAGGGCCCCAACTTTTTCGGCTGCTTTCGATTCCTCTTGTGGTGAAGCAAACTATCAGGGAAATCTTTAGTTCGGAAGACTGCACAGTTGGTCCGCCACTACTTGGTGTGACGTCAGAAAAAAGTTGAACCTTATCGTGGGTGATAAGGGCCCCAACTTTTTCGGCTGCTTTCGATTCCTCTTGTGGTGAAGCAAACTATCAGGGAAATCTTTAGTTCGGAAGACTGCACAGGTGGTCCACCACTACTTGGTGTGACGTCAGAAAAAAGTTGAAGCCTTATCGTGGGTGATAAGGGCCCCAACTTTTTCGGCTGGTTTCGATGCCTGTTGTGGTGAAGCAAACTATCAGGGAAATCTTTAGTTCGGAAGACTGCACAGGTGGTCCACCACTACTTGGTGTGACGTCAGAAAAAAGTTGAGCCTTATCATGGGTGATAAGGGCCCCAACTTTTTCGGCTGGTTTCGATGCCTGTTGTGGTGCAGCAAACTATCAGGGAAATCTTTAGTTCGGAAGACTGCACGGATGGTCCGCCACTACTAGGTGTGACGTCAGAAAAAAGTTGAGCCTTATCATGGGTGATAAGGGCCTCAACTTTTTATACTGCCTTTCGGCATGTTTTACTGTGAAGCAAACGTTTCAGGGGAAAATTGAGCACGGGAACCTCTTAGTTAGGTTGCTCACTGCAAGGTGTGACGTCAGACAAAAGTGGAGCTTTACAATGGGCGATAAGGACTTCAACTTTTTTTTCTGCTTTTTGGCATGTTTAACTGTGAAGTGAACGTTTCAGGGGAAACTTTAGCGAGAAAGCCACTGAGCTACGTCTGTCGCTTCAAAGTGTGACGTCATAAAAAACGAGCTCTTGTGTTCCAATAAGTGCGGAATAATGCAGCGTTGTGCCCGTCCAACGTAGTAGTGGGTACAGCTCAAAGCTGCATTCAATGTTCGATGGATGATTCGTTTTGTACAGGCATAGCAATTTAAAAAATGCGTCTCATAATGGAGACATGGCATAATAATAATAGTGGTAGCGCATTCGGGTGCCAACCGTCGAATAACTTGAATAAAGATGAAATGAAATGCTTTGACAGTTATTCTTCACGCAGACCCCATGTGTGCGAGATTGATAATTTCTCATGTTGAATGACCGTGCGCAAATGTGTTTTCATGCCTTCTTGCTCGTCTGTACCTTCAGTTATCAGTAGGCGTTTGTGGTGCGATGACTTTTTTCTGGTGCCCCTTTCTTTTTATAATGAATGCCCACCAAATACAGCTCCGCTCTGTTATTTTGCAGAGACGATGTGCTTCTCACAACGGCCTTCTTTTAGACTGCGGCTATTTCTAAAGATGGGGGTGTTTCTGGAATCCTACTTCCATGCATGTTAGCATGACAGGCAAAGACTTGCATCACCGTAACATTAAAATTTGATAAGCAATGTTCGCATAGGTTCGATGTTAAACGACATATTTGGTACCTTCTTAAATGTTTAGGTGTCCCACCCCTGTGCCTATGTCCAAGCCTGTACGCTAAGGAGGTTCACCAACGAGTACGTCATCATGATGTTACGAGGCATGGTGCATGAAACCACCATGGCAGATGGAGGGACGAAGAAGGCAGGTGCGCCATGCGAGATTATTGTGGCTATTCAGTAGCGCAG